GTAATCACCCTGATAAATCTACTATCCAACTGATATATAGCTATTATAATGTTACTGGCTGTATTTCCTCTACTATAGTTTACATTCCCATGACTGTTTTGTAACTACTAATTTGTACTTCTTAATCCCTTCCCCTTTTTCACTCATCCTCCGAACCCCTTCCCATCTGCCAGTGATCAAAATGTTCTCTGTATCTATGAGGTTTTTTCTGTTTTTTCAGTTATTTTGTTTTTTAGATTCCACATATAAGCGAAATTATATGGTATTTGTCTTTGTCTGACTAATTTCACTCAGCCTAATACCCTCTAGGTCCATCCATGTTATTGCAGATGGCAAGATTTCATTCTTTTTGTGGCTGAGTAATATTCTATGACATATATGTACCACTTCTTTATCCATTCATCCATCTATTGATGGACACTTAGTTGCTTCCATATCTTAGCTATTGCAGATAATGCTGCAGTGAACATATGGATATATTTTAGGTTTCTTCAGATAAATATGCAGAAGTGGAATTACTGGGTCATCCTTTGTCTCTTGTTATAGCCTTTGTTTTAAAGTCTATTTTGTCTGGTACAAGTATTGCTACCCCAGCTTTTTTGTTTGTTTCTATTTGCATAAAATATCTTCTTCCATCCCTTTCCTTTCAGTCTGTGTGTGTCTTTCATTTCTGAAGTGAGTCTCTTATAGACAGTATGTAAGGGTCTTGTTTTCCTATCCATTCAGTCGCCCTCTGTCTTCTGATTGGAGTATTTGATCCATTTACATTTAAGGTAATTGTCGATATGTAGTTATTACCATTTTATTATTCATATTTTTAATCTTTCTCCTTCTTAAAGAAGTCCCTCTAACATTTCCTGTAATACTGGTTTGGTGGCAATGAACTCCTTTAGTTTTTTCTTGTCTAGGAAGCTCTTTATCTGTCCTTTGCTGGGTAGAGCAATCTTGGTTGTAGGTCCTTGCTTTTTATCACTTTGATTATTTCATGCCAGTCCCTTCTGTTTGCAAAGTGTCTGCTGAGAAAGGAGCTGATAGTCTTATGGGTGCTCCCTTGTAGGTAACTAACTGCTTTTCTCTGCCTGCTTTTAAGATTTTCTCTTTGGCATCTTAATTATGATGTGCCTTGGTGTGGGCCTCTTTGGGTTCATCTTATTTGGAACTCTCTGCACTTCCTGACTTGTATGTCTACTTCCTTGGACAGGTTAGGAAACTCTTCCGTCATTATTCCTTCAAATAGGTTTTCAGTTCCTTGTTCTCTCTCTCTTCTCCTTCCAGTGCCTCTATGATGTGACTTGGTACGCTTGACATTGACCCCAAGGCCCCTTAAACCATCCTCACTTTTTTGGGTTCTTTTTTCTTGTTGCTCTTTTGATTGGGTGTTTTCTGCTATCTTATCTTCCAAATAACTGATTCGATCCTTTGTTTTACCTAATCTATTTTTAATTCCCTCTAATGTATTCTTCATTTCTGCCTGATTTCTTTTTTATGTTTTCTATCTCTATTTTTATGTTTCCTATCTCTTTGTTGAAGTTCCCACTGAGATCATTGAGCATCCTTGTAACCAGCGTTTTGAACTCTGCATCTGGTAGATTGCTCGTCTCTATTTTGTTTAGTTCTTTTTTGGGGGGTGGAGGGGAGCTTTGTTCTGTTCTTTCATTTGGAACATGTTTCTTTGTCTCCCCATTTTGGCTGCCTCCCTGTCTTTGTTTATATGTATTATGTTGAGTGGCTATGTCTCCCAGTCTTAGTAAGTGTCCTGTGGGGCCCTTTGGCACAATCTCCCTGGTTATCTGAGCCAGGTGCTCCAGGTATGTACTTTATGTGGGTTGTGTGTGCCCTCCTGTTATAGATGAGCCTCGATTGCTATTGGCATGTCAGTGGCAAGGATTGACCCTCAGGCTGATTGTGAGGACTGACTGTGACTTACAGTGAAGGAGCTGTTGTACAGGGGCTGACCCTATGGAGCAAGGTTCGCTTTTACAGGGTTCAGGTGTCTGTCCTTTGGGTGTGTCTTTTGTGTAACTGATTGGGTGGTGCTCTGGTGTGGTATGAAGCTGGCTACCAGGGCCTCATGGGAAGGGCTCTGGTATAGGCCAAGGTCAGCTGCTGCCTGTGCCCTTCCCAGGGCCACTTGATATGAGCTACAAAGTGATCTGCAATGGTTGCCACTTGTGCTGGGCTTAGAGATGCCTAGGAGAGGCTAAGCAGTGAACCGAGGCCAGTTGCTACTCATGCTTGTTTTGGGTTTGTGAACTTTGAAAAGTTTTAGGAAATTCTGCAGAATGAGACAAGACAGAATGTTTGTTTGGAAAAGCCACTAGAAGCAGCTTGGGTAGGCCTATAAGTTGGATGGGGAGGGGTCTCGGGGAATCACCAGGGCAGGGTGAATGGTGTTAGCTAGGTTGATAGATACTCAGATATGGTGCCCTCCTGAGCGTGCAGGCTGGGTTGGGGGAAGGCTCAACAAAGGAACAATGGGTTCTGCCAACACTTTTGCCTGAGAGAAAATTGCCCCTCCGGCTCTTGCTCTAAAGCCAGACAATTCTTTCCTCCCAGTATGTCCCTAGCACTTTTCAAGCTGCTGCCCCAGCTCCAGAGCTCAGAATGAGTGAGTCTGTCAGTTAGTAAGTCCATGAACACCTGGGACCCCAATAGCCCTTTGTCTCATGTAGTTATAATCTCCACTGATTTCACAGCCAGAGGTTGTGGGGACTTCTTGTACAGGCACTGAAACCCTGGACGAGGGAACCTGGTGTGTGGCTAGGACACTTCGCTCCTCATGGGTGACCTCCCTCCCAATTTTTAACAGCCATATGTGGGTGTGGGGCAAGCTTGTTCCAAGTGTCTACCCCTCCTGCCAGTCCTTAGTTGTAGGACTTCTGTTCAGCTATATTTCAGGCAGTTCTCAATGACGGTTGTTCTGTGGTTTAGTTGTAATTTTGCTGTGGTCTGGGAGGAGACAAGCACAGTGTTTACCTACTCTGCCATCTTGACTAGAAGCCAAGATTTCAACACATGAATTGGGAATGACACAGTCATATAGTCCATAATAGAGACCTCCAAAGATACACTTTACCTACTTTACAATTTTGCACAGAACCACGATGCTGTCATACACCACTGAAAATCAAGAGTGCTTTCTTATAAATTGCAAGATTCATAAAACTCAATGCAATAAAAATCATAGGGCACTTTTCACTGTAATACTTTCCCAAGAAGTTGGTCTACCTAATGCTAGTAAATAATCTCAAGAACACAAAATGTCAATTTAATTAACCATTGGAGTCAATGCTTTATTTCTGGTAACAGTGGATCCTAGACAGGTGGCACCAAATCTACACAGACTTCCCAAGGTAATGACAGCCCCTAATTAAAATGATGGTGGAAGCTCTCGGTACCTGCTAACATTGTACTTGTAAAGACTATGTAGATCTTATTATTTTTAAGTTCATTTTTAGACTCACTAGTTCCTAATTTAGATTTCTACTTTAACAAATTCTATCTGAATGTCAGAAAAGGATCATGACCTTCTGGTTTGAAACTGTATCTTGCAATAGAATGTTACTTGTTTACGGGATTCCAATTTCAATTTGAGTAATTTTTGACAGAGCGCTGCATGTAGTGTCAACATACGGGGCCATGGTGAAGAATGTCTTAATTTCATTTTCTTTTATGTGTTAATTCTGTAATTGCTTCCCAGCCACTTAACTCGGTAGAGTGAGGGACATGAAGTACTTAATGGGGATGCTGGCGGGGAAGGACATTTTGTAAGCTTTTTTAGGCATTGATGGATATACGTGGAACATTATATTGCCAACAGGTTATTTAAGACTGTGCAATTAAAAAGTAATTAGGTAACTAAAGCATCAAGGGTTTTAGATCTATGACAACTGAAAAAAAACAAATGGGATATTAAAAGATAAAAAATGATTGCACCATTATGTGAAGTTTTTTGCTTTTTAAATACATCTGTGTATCAAAAGGAGTTTCTAGCAGGGTTTGCAGCCAAAGTGATGCTTCTTCATTGTTTTGTGCTTCAAGATAATGATACTTAAAACTTTCCTCTCTTACCTCCCACAAGTTATTCTTAGAGGCAGGTTGGGGTGAATGGGCTGGCAGGGAGATGGCATGGAGAAATGGTACAGAGAAAAAAATGAAATGATATTAAACCAGTGAGAGAGATGAGGGGCATTACAATATATTTGAAAGAACCTGAGCTCCCAGTCAGGTAACCCCAAATTTCAGTACCAGCTTCACCACACACCCTATGGAAGGCACTTCCACTCTCTGAGTACCAGTCTCCTCACTTATAAGTTTATCATAGCCACAGCACCCACTCATAAGTATCCATGTTGGGTAAAGTTAGTAAAGTGCTGTCATCCACAGGGCCCTGTGTCAGGCAAGGCACCCAAGGCCAAAATAGTGTGGTGTGGTGTTTCCCTCATCCCACCCCTACGCCTTCGTCTCCATGGAGTCTCCCAGAGACAGCATCTTGATGCTTCCATCTGTGTACTGCCTTCTGGACCTGCCTTTGCTCTAGGGGAGGAGAGGCAGGGCACAAGACAATGAGCAGCAAGGTGATGACGCATCAGCCTCCTTGGGGCAGTTCCTCCCAGCATGCAGGACATGGCCGGTAATCTTTTCCAGACAGAGTTAGCAGGAGGTAGCATTGCCTATCTACAGGTATACATGGGGATAGAAACAGTAAAATGATTAGTAATTACTTTAAAAGAAAAAAAAAGTGTCTGCCACCCAAACTGCTTTTGTGCACAGCACCTGGTGAGAACCACGCTCCAGGATGTGACTATTTTAGGCTGTTTTTAATTAAATGATCTGGCGTACATTTACCCATAGATCGGATGTTGGATCACTTTGAATGTTGCTGGTCTAGAACATTCTAGAAAGGAAAAAAGCAGCTACTTCTCTGGTCATTTGCCTTGGCTCTAAAATATGCTGATTTGCAAAGGAAACTAATGGTTATTTGTGTCATCTTTTCCCAGAACATAATTGCTGAGCATGAAATCCGTAATATCTCCTGTGCTGCCCAGGACCCAGAAGACCTCTCAACATTTGCTTATATCACGAAAGATTTGAAGTCCAATCACCACTACTGTCATGTGTTTACCGCCTTCGATGTGGTGAGTAACTACCCTCTTTGGACAAATTAAATATTTCCCCAAATGTACCTGGATATTATTGAAAGCCCAACTGGCAATTAAGGTACTTGGCGTGTTTACCAAGTGTTAAGGTATATCTCGCATAAGGTATTTTACAGACTTAGCTTTTCTGAGCTTTTTCTATAGAATGCTACTTCTACCTAGTATCTGATCTGTCTTTGCTCAACTACTAACTTCATTTTTTAGATTTGACGAATTCCTTTTTCTCTCTGGTATCAAAATATAGTAAATGTCTTCCAGCCTCCTTATTCCTTCACTGTATCTGTCAGTTGTCTCTGGTAGCCATTTCTAGATAGTAGGGAATAATAATCTAGGTTTGTTTGGAAAAATAAATTTCAGTGCCTCATGCAATAGTGTGGTTTTCTGTATTAAATAGAAGTCAAATTAGACACCTACAAATAATAATCAGGAACACCAAGATTTGGTCCATTTGCTTATTCGGAAGTTAGTCTTGTAATGATGTCTTTATGATATCACACCACTTATAGTCCTATTTGTCATTAAGCCTAAAAACTAGCTCATATATATCAAACTTGGAAAATGAAAGCAATTCTAGAAAACAATGAGTGTTCCTTAAAGGTATATATGTGGCTGTAACCATGAAATAATTTATAATCGGAAGAATTCTAAAGTGTCACTTTAATTTGACAATTCTACTCTGTTCAGTGTATTTGAAATACAAATAGTCAAAGAATTACATAGAAATTACAGTGTAATATATTCTTGGCCAGCACACAGTTCAATGTCCTGGGTAAGACTGCTCAAAGCAGTCATTTTCAGTTCTGACAAACACCCATGGACCAAGGACCCCATAAGGCAAAATCTGCCCCTTTTAAGGTATGTTAGGCTCACACCCAGAGCATTTCCATCATGCTACATATGGCTCATCCCTTTAGTTTTTGAAAATTCCTTCTATTTGGGGAGGCATGAGGAGAATAATGTAAAAGTGGCATGTGGTAACAGTAAAGAGTGCAAAACAAAGCCCTCAAAGGCCGCTCTAAATATCTCTGGATGTGTTTGTTTGCATGAGATCAGCGGTATTGATTAGTTATTTTAGCAAAGCTTTCTGGTGCCTTAAGCATAACTTACTGTTCTTATAAAGTGTAATCATTTTTTTAAACAGTAAAATTCCATTCTATCCTCGTATATTTTGGTTTGCATGAAACACCTTTCTCTGTGGGAGATGAACTGGTATCATAGAAGGAGCAGACAAATCAGAGTTCACATCCCATCACAGCTGTCCGCTCCCTCATCTTAGACAAGTTGCAGGACTTTCCTGAGTCTGATTTCCTTTGTGTATAAAACAGGGACAAGGATTTATACCTCACAGGTTTTCATCGGGATTCAAATGAAGGAGCTTATGTAGAGTGCCTCATAAATAACAGGCGTTCAGTGTTAGTTCCACCCCCACCTGTTCTCTCTCTTTGCCTACTGGCATCACAGTTGACAACCTGGCCCCTTGTTCTGCTAAAAGACATAAGATAAATTTGCCAGAAGTGTATTTATGGTCCAAAATTTTCCCACTGCCCTTGTAAAAGAACCAAAAAGAAAAAAAAAAAGGAATAAATAAAATAAAAACAATAGAAAGAAAATATTGACTGCAGATTTCATACTGGTATATTGCCTCTATATATTGTTTTCATTGAATGTCAATATTTCGATAATTTTCATAATTCCAACCTTTCTTTGAGTATTGAAGCATTCTTCTCTAAACTGGTTTTTACAGTAATATATAATTTACCTTTATAAGAGTATCCAAACATTATTCTACATTATTCTACATTCAAACTAAAAATGATAGCCATCTGCACCCCTGAGTTTTTTAGATATAGATAGATATAGATATAGATATAGATCTATATATATATAATCAACTGTTTAGTTTTAGGAGCAACATGATGTCCCTGATCAACATTTGGAAATTAGAGAATTGCTTCATTTTTTTGTTTTCATCCAGATGTTTGATTTAATGTAGACATTCACTAACTTAGGATTCTGGTATCAGCCCCAAAAGATTTTCATCCTGTACCACAAATCCACTATTTTAATCCTTTCTAGGTGAACACAGTTTGTCTAACTTCAAAAATAGTAACAGGAGGCACCAGCCTTGACCTGGGCCTTTGAGCAATTTTGAGATGCAACAAGCTTTGCTGGCACTAAAAAAAGCCTCTTTGAGCATGGATTTTGTATCTTTATGTAGGGCAGCTCAGTGTTCAGTCCAATCTTGAAGCCTTAAAATTCTTTTGATATAAGTCAGTCCCCAAATGGCCAAAAGAAAAGAATACCTTAAGTATACATTTAATCTTTTAGCTTATATGTATATGTACATGTGCATTTTTAATTGCAAAGTCATTATCACTTTGACCTTGTAGGTCTTTTATGGGTCACAAAATGTTTTTATGAGTATCTGCCATTATCAAAAAATTTAATGACATCTCAGATGCTTCTAGTTTATGGAGAGTTAGATTTAAAATAGAGCATCTTCCCATAGAAATCCTGTGATCTCAGAAGGGAGGCCCAAACCTCCTTACAAAAGCTAGCATACGAATTTAGCATAGTCCACTTACTAGAGTCTAATATACTCAGACTCCAGGAGCGGGTGGAGTGTGCTCTGTTTCCCAAGATCATTTGGCTGTGATAGATTTTTTTGGAGAACACCTTGCAGGGATGGAGTTCTGTAGAACACACTTCAAAAAATGTTATACTTCACGATCTCTATGCCTATTTCCATTTCTTAGAATCTGTGCTACATTCAGCATGTGATATTTTCAGTTTAGGTAACAGGTAGATGAAAATGAAAAGACTAGAGCAAAAATGGTATTAGAGTTTCCAAGAAAAAAAGCCAGTACGTACCTACCGGCAAGTACCAGGCCTGCTGTGCATTCTAGACTCTATTGTGGCAGCTGATTTCTATTCACGTTTCTAACTTGCTAGGCCTGGAACACGCCTCACCCACCACAGAACAAAAGGCTTTCCTAATTCCGTCTTTCAAGCAATGAAAACTTAGGGGAAGAGGGAACAGTAGGACTGAGTAGAAAAGAAGGATGTATTAAGAGGTTAGAAGTCACGGGGTTAAAAACACAGATTCAGCGTGAACTTTCTGCCTTTCTTATCTCAAATGAGTGAAGGAGAATTCCATGCTGCTAGGATTACAGAAGGGGGGATGGGTATTTCAGTGGCCCAAGGCTGCAGTGATCATCCTTCAAAGGCCACGATAGGTAAGAGACAGGTATAACCAAGCTAATTTGGAAATTATGATCTTTTATATATTATTCACTTGGTTAGTCTAGAATTCTAAGTCATAGAATTGAGGTGGGTCAGTCAGAAAGATTTCTATGCACTATCTGTGGGAGTATCAGATCTATTTTAAAACTCTGGAAAAGACCTCATTCAATAGTTTTAAAATACGAAAAGTTTGTTTTTTAAAATAGCGTTAAAAGCCATGACTGCTGCTAGACCCTTACTAATTCTCACTTCTCTATAAAGAATATGTTTGCAGTCCTTGATATTTTTAACCATGCTCATTTTCCTCTTACTTGCAACCCCCAAATGCTGTAATCTTCAGTGTGCAGCACGTGGCATGGCTTCGACTGGCTCCAGAA